GACAGGGAGAACCTCAGCTCCTGACACACCGCGACAGGGAGAAGCACACTGAGAGAGGGAGAAACTCTGCTCCTGACACTGAAACTGTGCCACACTGACACCAACATACTGACACGGACACACTGAAACATCATGACACTGAGACCAAGGTATCTGACACTGAATCCTTGATATCATGAGACTGTTTCACAGTTCCTCAGTACCACTCCATCAGTGTTTTGCTTGATAATGTCCTGACTTCCTGCGATAGAAGGAATGACACTAATGCTTCCTGTCCCCCCTCTGTCAGGCTACAACACCAGCTGGGTCGCAGCTGAGCGCCCGGTCCCGTTTCAGCAGCTCACCGCGCTATTGGACGTCACCTCTGCCCCGCCTTTCTGTGGTGAGCCACACCCTCCCAGCCCATCAACAGGGCAGAGTAATTGATAACCGATCACAAGGATCAGGCTACTTCAGACACACGGTACAAGATCAAATACATATTTAAACACAACAACTGGAAAGCTGCTCGTTTTAGGACACATCCAAGGGTTCGGGTCCTGTAGTCAGCACTCTTTTAATAAGGGTCCCCAGAAATGAGACACAACAGCAGATTTAAGGTACCTAACAATCTGTGTTCTTTATTTAACAGCAGGCACAAAATCAAACCCATTGGAACTGCAAACAAAAGCACACAGCAGCTCTTCTTCGACTGAGCTACTGACTAAACCCCTAACTGTCCCTAACTAGGCCTTTACAGGGTTGCTGGACCACACAAGGTCCACTCTCCTCTCTTGCTTCTCCTCTTCTGCCCTTTGAAACCTTCTCCTTCCTGGGTTTTAAACTGTCACCTGACCAACTGGCGTGTAGCAACAGGTCAGGTGACTGAGGTTATCGGGGTCGACCCCTCCCCCCACACACACATACAGCTTTCTGGGAAACGTAGTTCAGGCCAGAGCTGCCGTCTTTCCTGGACCTGCCATCCCTTCAGTTTGTACTTGATTGTAGTACAGTGTAGTGTGAGTCGGAGGAAGGATATCCAGCATGGTGGGATGTCCAGGAGAGAGAACTGACATGGGGCAAGATTTGCCATGCAACACTCTAGAGTGTGAAAGAATGGGTGGGTTAGTTATAGACTGGTGGTGGGGCGGCATGGTCTACTGATCCGATGACACTCTGCTCGAGTGATGTCAGCTGACGCCTTTTGAGGACTGACACTCCAGCTCTCTCTCCCTCTGTCCTAGTCACCCCTTTCCTGCTGGAGTTCCAGGTCGGGGGCGTCACGCCACTGAGAGCGTACCTCTTCATCCAGCTGAGGGGCGGGGGCGTGGAGACCTCATCCCTGCTGCTCTCGGGGTGAGTGATCAATGAAAACCAGAGGGAGCCTGCGCCGTTTCCAGGCGGCCACCGGAGCCAGTGAGCTGGAGCTGGGCGCCCCGAGTTAAAGCCATGTGGCGGGCAGACGCGAGGTCAGGGGTCAGGTCACTCGAAAAACAAGATGTAGCCCAAGCAGCCGACCAGTGTCCCCTCTAATTCTTACACACTGAGCACACTGGGGCGTCTCGAGATTTAAGGCTTTGATAAAATTGAAGCCAGTGAAAATTCTGAGAGTGTTTGACGATTGTATGACAAGAAGGCTCTCAATAACGCACAATAAAATGGCCGTCTTGTTCCCGTGTGGCTTGCCTCCAGCTCAGCTCCAGTAAGGTTCCAGCCGGGGAAGGTGTACAGGTTCATGGTGTCGGCGAACCGCGACGGCGACTTCAGCCACCTGCTGCTGGAGTTCTACACCCGCCGCAATCTGTACCTGGAGTGGAGGAAGAGGATCGTCCATCTCAGCCAGCTGCTGCTCACCAGACTGCCTCGGGACAGGGGGTAAGGGCACACAGTGAGGCCGAGACCACCCCTGACTCTCCACAGAGACACAGAGAGGCCGTGACCAGTCCTGACTCTCCACAGAGACACAGTGAGGCCGAGACCAGTCCTGACTCTCCACAGAGACACAGTGAGGCCGTGACCAGTCCTGGTCAGCCACACCCACTGCCACCATCAGCTCTGATGATCTGAGATTTAACTCTTTGAAGACTAAAACACTCATATCCAGGATGCCTGATGTCATATCTGATGTGTCAGTGGCAGAGAGGCTGCTGCCTGGTCAGCGGTCAGTAGCCACTGCTGTAGTCAATCCGGTCTCTCCCGCAGGGTCTCCTACTTCGCCTACGACGTGAGGGCAGCAGAGGGGCACACGGTGGAGGTGCGGCTCACCAAGGAGGTGGCAACGGAAGAGGAAGAAGAAGAGGAGGAAGAGCAGTGAGGGCCTGTAGTGCGCAGACCTTTGGACATTCTGTAATTTGGGACACGTCTGGGCTTCAATATATAGAATCTACAGTACTTTAAAAAGCTCATATCTGCCTTCATCGATAACATGTCAATTTAAAACTTGGAAAGGCATTTCTTAATGATTGATTAATTACATTATTCATTACATTATTAAACCTGTACATGAGAACTGTCTATATTTACTTATGAATAAGTTAATGACATGCAGTGCATACTTTGTTTATAGGATCCATGGACAAAATAAATCTCATGTGTAATTTCACATTAGACTGTTGTCCCTTCTTTCATATGATGATGTGCTTCTTGTTAATGATGACAATAAACTCTCCTGAACGATTCCCACACTTAAAGCAGCTAAAAAGGGAAAAGGGAAGGGGGGAGATGTTAATTGGCCACTTCAACAGCCTCCCAGGAGCCCGCAGGCTTGCAGTGATGTCACTGAGAGATGTGCAGCTCCTCCAATCGACACTAACTCTCCTGTCAGATGCTGTGGGACCTGCGGCAAGTCAAAGGGTGAATTTCTTGATGGGTAGTTGGCTCAGAGGAGCATGTGTGGGAGTAGGTGTGGTCGTTGCTGTAAGCTGAAACACCTATTCTTCCATTCTCTAACCGCTTTAACAATATAGGGGAGCAGGAGTCTGTCCCAGCAGGCAACAAGTACAAGGAAGGCTGAAACCTCAAGACAAAATTAATGTTTTCAAATTGAGTGGGTTCATAATGAAAATTGCTAAAAGTTTTCCAAATCTAAAAAAGAAACCACATTTGCATTAAAAAAGTGTCTGCAAATTGTCTGCAAAATGTGCAGCAGTTTGAAAACAGAATTTTCTCACTGTGCCCAGGGTTGAAAGTTGTTCCAATGAGATTCAGGACAATCTTTTGAATAACAGAGCTCCTGTAAGACGTGAGCCCTGCTTGTACAGGAGGACAATCTTACTCCACTGCCCCCCCAGGATAAACTGCACGGAGCATGCAGAGTGGGAAATCTGTCCCTGGAGGTTTAAGGGGTTGACAGTGATAACTGTGTGTTTATAGTGCCAGCATTGTTCCACCACCAGCTCATAGTGCTTCTAATATTTATGACTTATAAAGTTATCTCTAAATAAAGTACATAGTGAATGATAATAGCAATTTCATTGTCTGGGTCTATACAGTGTTTACACTACACTACTATACAGTACAGGGATTGCTACATGCAGAAGGGGCTGTACATTAGCCTCTATACTGGTGCTTGCCTGCTACCCTGGACTAACAAGAAGTAAATTAGAGGCTTGTGGAAGCACTGAATCCAGTTGATCTATTCAAGAATTAAACATCCTCAGCTGGAATTTTAAAGTCCTAGAGTTAAGGCACTCCTTCATATTTTGAATAGTGTCATAAGATTTGTACTTATTAAAAGCAGGTGGGACCTTGTTTTAAATTTATTGAAAAGGCTGCACCTCTGACCCGCAGCACAATTTCCTACGTAAATATACTTTGGAATCAAGTTTAAAATTTTCAGTGGAGGGAGAGGAAGCTGCCACCTGGTCCAAATACGCTGCCTCATACACTGCAGACTATTTCGAAGTGTAAAAATATGAAAGCAGTGCGGACATTATTTTTATTTAATTTGTTTAATCTTTTTTCATAATTTGAATTTATGTAGTAATATGTACCCCTGACAATATTTTTGTCTTGAATTGTTATATGTACTCTTGTTTGTATTGTAATCTTTGTTCTTTTGTAAAGCATAAATAAAACATTAAAAACAAAAAACAACAACAACAAAAACACTGCAGCCGTTCGCAAATTAAATCTTCCCTGGCCTGTACATCAGGTCGGACTGAAAATACAAAGTGTTTTCATCCGGGGGACAAAGTTTGCTGACGGAACGGAAGTCCGTCTCTGTTTTCGTTCCGGCTCTCCTTGGTGTGTCTGTTTTTGTGTTTTCATTTCCAAGACAAAAGGTAATCAAAGCAAACTACTTATTTTTTTTCCGTATTTAACGTGATTTACATGTGTATTAGTTATGTGTGAAAACATCTGGGGTAGGAGGGTGATTTTGTCAGGGAGAGAATGATATTTGAAAAAGGTAACGAGGGCAGACTGGAAAAGCACAGTTGACAAACTGGCTCATACGGACCTTCAAATACAGAAATAAAGTAATGACTACACCGGATTATTAAAATACGAAATGCAAAGATTAATTGTGGTTCCAGTGCTGTTTGCTTAGAAATAACTGTATTGTCACAATCGTAACGTAGTGGAATATATTCATTTTTTCGCTTTATGATATCATTAGCAGTGTTGATGCTGTTGTGGTACTGTTTACCCAGCTGGATTTGAGTATTTTTAAGGTAACATGTACTCTGAATTTAATACTAAAATGAATCCTACACATTTGTGGTTCTAAATGTACTCGGGTACATCGTAGTAACACCTGATTTAAGTCTCACATAATTAATAGTTGGTTTTAGACATTATTATTCTAACACGCGCACAAGCATCTATTTATGTGTAAATACAGGTTATAATACTGTGAGGACAGATAGCTCTTGTAGCAAAACGTTAAATTAATATAGATGATATTTCTTTATGTTGCGGTAGTCTTTTCCAAGCGTTTTAACTGAGGTAATTTCCTAAGTGAACTCAAATTTATTTTTGTGATATTGTTCTTTTATGTCATCCCGTCTTCTGTAGATGTATTGAACGGTAATGATGAGACTGGATTATTGTGCTGCTCTCTCGGTAGCGCAAGGGCTGTATTTAATTCATCCTCTTGGTTTAACTTCATTGAGCTCTTTCATCTGGATAAGAACCCAGATCACACGTGCATTTGGATATGACACCTTGGCCTAGCTGAAAGGTGTGAACTGCAGGACTGCTGCTCAGGTGGTAGTGGTGCCCATTAATGGTGTACAGGAATAAATCGGTGTGAATCCAAATGCAGCTGGTTAATTGGATCGTTTTAACTAAGTGATCAAATGTGTCAGGCAGTGGCTGTGCTTGTGTCCGGTAGGCAGCGTGCTTCAGGCGGTGCCTGCAGAATGGACGCGCTGGATCACATGCTCACCGACCCGCTGGACTCGGGGCAGGGCGGCGACGGGCGCATCATGGAGGAGTGCATGCTGGGAAACACCCGCGTCAGTCTCCCAGAGGACCTGCTGGAGGACGTGAGTTTTCCAGGAAGGGAGGATAACGGGGGGAAATGGATGGAGAGAGGGACGTCTCCCCAAGAATTCAGAGTTACACAGAGAAAAGTAGCAGCCGGAATCAAACCAGGGCTCATGGACGTGTAGAATGGAAAACTAAACTTGATTGAGTATCAGCAAATGACCGCTAGGAGGAGACTTAAGCTTTTATAACATAAATAGAATACACAAGGCTGACCATGTTTTGTCATTGTAGAATCAACTGATCTCACCAGTTGTGAGTATGTGGATGGTACTAGAAAATCCCTGATGAAAATGTGACAATGGGTGATGCTGTACTGTAACTGTAATCATGCAAATCAACGCCCTGCAGTGAACACTCTAACCCTCCATCCCCGGTCTTCTGTCGTGCTCACATGCCTGCAACAGGGCTGCCGAGCTCTGCTCCCCTCTGGGGCAGTGTTCCAGCTGGCTCTGTCTCCGTCACGTCCAGTGTCCACGAGGATTACCTTGCCTCAGGTTGTCCCTCTTCGAAGTCCATATTCATCCTGCAGGCCTTCTGCCCAGCAGAGGCGGAACAGAAGAGCCCTGATCTGTTGGACTGTGTTTAGTTACGTCTTGAAGATTTCTACGAGCTTTAACTGACGACAGAAGGCAACTCACAGGTTTAACGTATAGGAGATAGTGGGGTGTGGGGTGGGGAGCGGGGTGTGGGGTGGGGAGCGGGCCGCGGGGTGCCCTTACAGCCCGTGACCTGTTCCCGTTTCTGGTGTCCAGCCAGAGATCTTCTTCTCCGTCGTGAGCGACAGCACCTGGCACCACGTGCTGACGGACGCCCAGCGGCAGCGGCTGCGCCAGCTCCTGCCCCACTTCCCCGAGGACAGCGCCGCCCTGCAGGACGGCGTGCTCGCCGACCTCTTCGGCAACCAGAACTTCCGCTTCGGAAACCCCTTGCATCTCGCCCAGAAGCTCTTCCGAGGTGAGCCCCTCCCGGCCCGTGCCACCCCCCGGAGTCTGAGGGCACGAGAAGGGTGGGCAGAGATACGCCTGTGAAATCGGAGAGGAAGTGGGATTAGAAGGGAGGGAGAGAGCTGAAGAGGGAAAGACTCCTTAAAAGACCTTCAAAGCGGGGCCTTTGCAGTGCAGGTTTGTGGGACAGATCTTCAGAAAGGGTCTTCAGAAAGGTCATCAGGTTTAATTTGTCAGGTGTGGGGCTGTGGCACCCTGGTACCCCTGGGACAGGAGATGCTAATGTTTGCTAATGTAGTGTGGTGGACGTGCTGAAATTGCATTTAGAGCTGTGACATTTAGAGGATTAAATGGTTTCGGGTTGTTACACGGGACGCTGTGGTCATGAGTGGTCTTGTGCACCACATACTGTAGCTCAGGTCTGACATTTCGAGAATTTTTCTTTAGGGTGGCGGGGGGCAGGCTACTCTAAAGACTAAGCATACGGGGAAAATCCACCTGTCACTGAGATGGGAGAACTGACATTTCCACAGTCTTCATGGGCAAAACGCATCGTGGCAAAAATACAGAGATACCAGACAAGACAGCTACACATTCTTCATATCAGAGTCCACATGTTGGAAATGTTTTCATTTGAAAGAAGAGGAATATCCCAATTGTATTCCATTTCAAAAGAATAAGTACATTTCCCCCAGAGGAGACATATTTAGATGTTATTGCTATTCCAGAGCTACGCAAAATAAAACAAAGGTTCCTGCAAAAAGACCTGTAAACGCTCTAGTTATAACGTTCCGTTACAAATTGTTTGCGCTGCACACCTGGAGTTGCAGCTAACAGCGGTGGAATAATCAGCGATCATACTCCTGCCCTCGGGGCGCGTCTCTCAGACGCGCGGGGCGGTCTGGGGGGGTCTGCGAACGCGCACTGACGCCCCCACCCTGTCCTACCCAGATGGCTACTTTAACCCGGAGGTGGTGAAGTACAGGCAGCTGGTGGCCAAGTCGCAGAGGAAGCGCTGCCTCTACTCCCAGCAGCAGCACTACCACCGGCTGCTCAAGCAGATCCTCGTCTCCAGGAAGGTACCGTTCTCCGTGCGGCTCTGCCTCGGTTACGGCCCACATGTACACACGTCATCCTTCATTTCACCAGCGCACAGGTCAGCGCACAGCCCAGCTTCACTCACGGTGGCGTGGATCCTTTGCACTGTCGGGCAGTTGAGAGGTGCAGTACCTTGTCCAGGGCTGCAACAGGAGCGTCCCGCCAGGGCCCCCTGTCCCTCGCTGCTGCCCGGTGGGAAACGGGACAACAGCAGAGGCGTCCCTCGAGCCCTGCCCTGTCAGGCCCCTCAGTAGAAGCTGGTGAGGAGCCAGACCTCACTGCAGGCTGGCAGGCTCTCCCGGCTCTCCCATATCTGGAGATGCGAGTCGGGGTCCCAGCTTCCTTCCCCTCAGCCTGTTTCTCCGTCGGGACGCTGTCGGAGAGCTCGCCCTTCCCTGACGGCGCGCGTGTTTGTTGTTTCTGCGCCGGGCTCAGGAGCTGCTGGACCGGGCCCGGCGCGGCGGTCCGGACCTGGTCCTGAAGCGGCGG